TCCAACTGAGGGGGCCAAAGGGTCATAGGCCAAACATAGCCCTTTGACAAAAAACACATCTCCAAACGAAGGGACCAAAGGGCCATAGGCCAAACATAGCCCCCTCTATAATTTATCATTTTAATTGAATTAATATGGTTAATTAAATTAAACTACCATATTAAAATAAGATTTTCGGACATATTTTGAGTGTCACTTGTTACCAAATGAATAAGTCTCCAGATTTCTTATCCTTATACAATCTCAATAATTTTCCGAATAGGATTGACACGTGTCGCTAATGTGAGTAACTCTCCAGATTTCTAGGATGGAATGATGAAAAGAATGTGAGAAATGGTGTAGGAATGGCTTAGGTATTCATAGGGAAAAAAAATTAGAATTAAAAAAAAAATCGTCCCAAAAAAAAAATCAAATTCTAATGGTAACCTGACGCTAGGTAGCCATTGGCATTCACATGGGCTGGGCTGGAGGGCTAGCTGGAAATGGCCAACCCGTTGGCCTGGTGGGTCCCACAACCCATTTGGCCTAGCCCTCGGTTGGAGACGGTTTTCATGTCATTTTGAGCTATTTTTAGCCTTTTGGCCGGGTCAGTTGGAGATGGCCTTACATGCTAGGAGGAAAGCTTGTCTCTCACAGATGGTTATACTTTTTTGTGCCCTATTCATGGACTTCGATAATAAACATGTGTTTTCACGAACTTTTTCTCATCCCTTGCTTCCTTGTTCCTAAAATAGAATTGTAATTTGACAATTTTTTCCAGAGGAAACGAACTTTTAGAGCAAATGAGTAAATAATGAAACACGAGTATTTATAAATAAATATTCCCTTCAAGATATCTATAGTACCACCTTCGGTCAGAGGGGGTGTTGGGCAGGAGCGAAAGGTGCAGTCGCACAAGGCCCCAAAATTTTGCCATCTAATATTATGTAATAATGTTCTATATTTAGAAAATTGCTCTTGTTAGATTTTAAAATCTCATTGAACTGCTTTTGATTATTTGTGAAGGTTATGTTTGCAACTTTTTTAATTATAATTAATGACATTTGTAAACTTTCAATCAATGAGTGCTAAAATTTGTTTTGATTTAAGTGATTGTTTTCTAATATCAATACATTGTTCTTCTTTTTTTCAAAAACTATCTTAAGGATGGGCCATTTTATAAAATTCGCACAGGGTCCTCGAAATCTCAAAGACGGCCCTGACTCCGGTACCAGGTATTAAATATTTGACTTAGTATGTTGGTATGAGATAAAAGTAGTCATACTCAAGGTCGGAGTTCAGAGCCACTCTCGGATGATTCTCGGATCGTACTTTTGACTATTCACTTGAATGATGTAGAGCTTAAGTTTAAATGTTATAACCTACAACCATTTTGTTTTGTGATAAGATCGAAGAACCACGACCTTCACCTACAGAAATTTAGAAACAATTTCAACATCCTTTCATTTGAGGATAATCTCTTTAAAATAAAGAACCAGCCGGTATAGCTTAGTTCTTTTTTTGTTTCATGGGCTAATGTTATATGCTTTCCTTTCATTAGCTGGCTGGCTAAAGTCTGACAGTAAAGCCTTTCACTGCGAGGAGGACCAAATGCTCAGGTCATCTATACCTAATAAGTTTTTAATTAATTAACTAATCATCCTAATTAATTAGGTCGGTTGGAATGATAAGCTCCCTCCTCCCAATGGTTGGGGTATATCTCCTACTCATGTAAATGTTCACCAAGTGTGCAGGTGACAATTTTGTAACTCTGTGTTTAAAGAATTATCACAATTTATGAATTTATTTTCAAGTTAGTGGTATTTTTCTTCTCAAGATTTAAATTTTAAAATTCAAAACAATACGAAGTTCTAATCCAACACGTATGTTATTATGGTTTCTTCAAAATAAAATGTTAACTGCAATGAACTTCAGCTGAGGGATCTCTTAATAACTTCAACAATCCAGCCGTCTATTATTTAGGTCTTTTCTTAAAATTCATTTTTCACTAAAAATTATTCAAATCAGAAATCATATCACCATTGAATTAAATGATGGTCACTAATTTTATTAACCGTTGTATTTGTGAATTTTCTTCCTACAATTAGATGTCTTAATAGTTTGAATTTGTTTGACTATTTGCAAATACAGGGTGTAGAAGGAGAAAAAAGAGTATGGAAATCACTTACCAATATTCATGGATCCCTCACTTATTCTGAGAGTCATTTTATCGCAAGTTCAGGTCTGATTTGTGGATTGACTCGAAAGAGAATGACGAGGAATACACCATTTCAAACCCAAACGAAAGTTGATCAAAACAGGATGCGCCAAAATTTTCTAGAACAAGGAGAGTGTGTTGGGTCCTCCCTAAACCACAATCCTGACTTCGTCATTGTCAAAAAGGGCTGATGTTAACTACATCATCGTCTTTGTTTCAATTTTATTTAAAATGGTTGTTTATTTAACATAAATTTATCAAGAACCAAAGCAAAAAAACATAGTCCAATTTCTTACATACTGATTTTAAAGGAAGATCATGCACTATTTCGAAGTATAGTTTCTCACTTTTTATTTCAATGAGAAAAAAGCAAGATGACATTTTGAGCCCTCTCATCCAAACACTAGAAGGTGAGACGTTTACCACCTTGGTCAAGGAGTAATATATATTATCTGAAAACCCAAAACATGGAAAACGACCTCAAATCTGGAAGCAATATTAAGATAACCTTATCCTAGCGATTAGTGATTATTTACCTTTCCTGCCAACGAGAAGGTCCCATGGTGGGCCCCATCTGAGTAGAGTTTCGAGTGGGACCCATTGCCACCGTCCTTTGAATTAAAGAAAAAAATTATAATAATGGCTCTTCAATTTTAATTCAATTAAAATAATGGTTTATCAATAAAAAAATGTGTGATCATTGGTACCTTAATTTATTAAAACGTGCAGTTATGATCAAAATGAGTCATGTTAAAAAAATCATTATTATAATTGAATTAAAATCAAGAGAGTATTGTTATAATTTAGTTAAAATTAAAGGATCTAAATTAGTTAAAATTTAAAAACTATTATTTTAATTAAGTTAAAATTTAAACATCATTGCTACAAAAGAAAGCAGTGTAAGCTAACCAACTAAACGAAAATCCAAAGTCTATCAACTATTCGCGATGGATACTACGACAACCGTTTTGGAGCAACGACGTCAGCGGACCTTATCGTATGTGTCGAGGAAATCGAGGTATGGGGAACCCGTCAGCTTGTGCAAATGACGTGTTGGCACAATCGTTTGCCAAAAGCATGAAGCTCGCACTAGGAGCTGACCACGTGGAGTGCACCTCATTTTGTAGGCATTTAGTGGCAGGGAACCCACATGTATTTTTAATACGGCGGGCCCAATTGGCAAGTATTTTTATTCTTACTTTGTTCTCTTTAACTCAAAACCAATGTTCTAAAAATCTCTATCTAACACCGCTTAAGCGTTAGACGGTTAGTCACCTCATCAATTAATACCTAAATGTTTGAAAATTAAGAAATGACACCTAGACCTATTGAAGCTCCCGTCTAAACCGCTTAGGCACCCGCCTACCCCGCCTAGACCCGTCTAAACATCCACCTAAATTATGACTCACTTAGACAAAAAATAGATAACTTTCATTTTGCATTTTATTTTTTCAATAAATTGTAAGGGACTTGTTGAATACTGACAAGAACACACATTATATACTTGTTCTCCATGCTTTCATTATGTTCCAATAGTTCATAATATATTTGTTACTCCATTTTGTAGTTTATGATGAAATCATATATATTTTAAGTATAAACAGATACTTATTTACACGAAATATAATAAATTTAATTAAATCAGCCTAGTCTGCCTAAACGTCCACCTAGACCCTGCCTAACCATCTAGGCATTAGGTCCCAACCTATCGGCCGACTAGCGCCTAACTTCTTTTAGAACCTTGCTCAAAAATATGTTTTCTGAAACTCATAATCTGCTCCATTTGCCCTTTGAAATTTGATTTTGATCCCTTACCCCCTAAAACTTCAAAGTCTCATCTATAAACTGAAACTTTGCTCTACATTACCATAAATCTGTTAGTTTCTTATGTAGATTTAATTTGGATGTCACAAACTACTCAATTTTGGTTTTTTTTTTTTTCATCTTTTCAAATTATTTTAAATTTATTATTTTTTTATTGTTCAGTATTAACACATAATAGAGATTTATAATCAAATTTATGCACATGTAGTAGTGTTATAGGTTCCACGTATGTTTTAGAAAGCGACTAAAAAAAAAAAAAGAGTTCACAAATAAAAATGAAATGAATTTTGAATTTTGAAAAGTAAAATGATAATTTTAAAATGATAGATAGCAAAGTAAAATCAAAATAGCGTTAAAAGGGAGAAACTAAAAATAAGGCAATAATAATGTACTTGCCGTCGCTATCCATGCACAAGATTCTTCTCCTCCTTTCACTCCCAGCGCATTTTCTCTCCCCCACCTAATAAAAAACGCTTTTCTGTTTGTTTCTCGGGAAAATTCTACACACTCTGTTTTTCTCAACCGCCCAGCTGAATTCCTCCCCCAATTCCAATTCCAGGTAATCCCTTCGCTACCTCTCTCACTTTCGGTTTCGTTTCAGTGCCCAATGCGGATTTCAGTTTATCTGTGAGTTTTCCGCAGTCGGAAATGGCGCAGTTTCAGAACGACGAGCTGGAGTACGTCGACGACTATTACGATGTCGTCGACTTTGATGACACCGACGCTTTTGCCGATAACCAGCTCCCGGGAGGCCACGATGCCGACTCGGACTTTGACGACGACGACTTCGATGAGGTCGTCTGCTCTGTTTCTTTGTAAAACTTTGGTAATGTTTTTTTTCCAGAAGAATTAAAAAATTTGGGGTTTTTGCAGAGCAAGGTGAAGACTGACACTTCAGCAATGGAAGCTCGAAATGGGAAGGACATCCAAGGGATTCCGTGGGAGAGGCTTAATTTTACCAGAGATAGGTACCGTGTGACCCGACTGAAGCAGTACAAGAACTACGAGAACCTCTCTCGGCCGCGCCAGGACCTTGAAAAGGTGTCGATTTTGTGCCATTCACTCTGTCTTTTGTGGAATTTGCATATGTTTTTGCTCTAGATTTTGATTAGATTAATTAGAATATGCTTGCTCGAATAATATAAAGAATTCCTTTTTGGTCTTAAAGACTTCACCTTTTGCAATATGTACCAAAATGATTGTTACCCATCATAGCATGGATACTATCCTCTATGTTTTTGCTCTAGGTTCTGATTAATTGGCTTTAGAATTGCATTGGTGCAGACCGGTGTAACCAAGTGGGCTAGATTAGCGTGATCCTTCTATTAGATTAATTAGAATATCGCTCGAATATATATATATATATATATATATATATATATATAAAAAGAATGCCTTGTTGGTCTTAAAGAATTCATCCTTACTTCTATTTTGATGCTTCCCTTCATGTTTGTGAATCTTCTGCCTTGACAGGAGTGTTTGCCAGTAGAGATGGGGAAGACCTTCTATGACTTTCACTATAATACAAGGATTGTGAAGTCCACAATTGTGCATTTCCAGGTAGAGATTTTGTTCTTGCTTCTCTAAACTCTTTGGAAATAGTTTTTCAAGAAATTTGTTTGTGAGTTTGTTGGACGCCAGGACATAAGAGTCTTTTGTTGTTGAGTTTGTTTAAGTTTTCTTTTCTCAAAACTTCATCCATATGTGGTGTTGAAATATTTACAGAACTTTCATCCACTGTGCAATCATATGCATAATTTAGTCCGTTCGCTACTATCAGTATTCATTGTTTCATGTAGTTCATTCCATCTTCCAAAAGTTATTGCTCGTCAAGATAATTTCCTCATTTTTGTCACTGAATATAGATGGCGTGTCATGTGCATAAAACTTATGATCCTTTTGAATTTTATGCCTTGTTGCTAGATATAAGCTTCTTCAATAGCTGTATTTTACTTTTAGTTATATGCATATCATTAATTCGTAGTTTTGCAGGTCTTACACAAATATGTTTTATCCTTTATGAAGGATATCTTAATTTATTTATCCTCTATGAAGGATATTTTAATTTATGATTGTCGTTATGTGCTCAACCATTCACTGGAAGGTATGGATTACATATTGTAGAATAACAGTTGAATCAATAACTAATACTGTAGGCAATATGTCACCATCTTGTTCACAAATTTGCTGTGTTTTTTCCATTTACGGTTGTCATAGGTTCTTGTTAGGCAAATACTATAATAGAAATTAAGTTGTACATACCGGTTTTACACGAGCTAGAATAACAGCTGAATCAATAACTAACCCCTAATTTCTGTAAGATTAAGAGTAGTTGTGAACACTTGCACCTACAACTCGCATACAATTTGAGGCTTGTGTTTCAGATTTAGCTAAACTAGGCCTCTTAAATTGCTGGATCTTACATCGTTAACCACAGTTACACATAATCTTTCACATATTTTTGTAATCGGTTCACTTTAATTTTGTACCTTCTGAATTTTCCTGTATGCGATTTCTTTTGCATATTAGTCGCATTTTGATTTATGGTGGTACATATTTTGCTTCTGTTGACTGTTGAATATATATCACATTAACCCATCTGTTGCATTTAGGACTGCTATTTCTCTCTTTATTTCAGCTTTTACAGCAGGGTGGACATTAGAGCTGCTGGCGCGACGTTGTTAATATGGTATGATAGGAAGATATTTGAGCATTAAGAGGCCTCTTAATAAGTCAATGAGTTCTGGTCATGAGGGGGCCGATTAACACAGTTCTTGCTTTCTTGGACTTCGAATTTTATTAGAATTTTTGAGGCATCCAGGGCCTTCAAATTTGCTTGTTTTTGACATATTTTTTTAACTGTCACCTGAAGTATATGGTGGTGTGGTACATCTGCTCTTTTATTTATGGATATTTGTTCATGATTCTGTCCATCTTTTTGTGACCTTAAAATGCCATTGGATTGGTCATGATCATTTTATTGTTCAGCCTTATGTGTGCTCTTTTCTTTGCTTTGAACATCGAAGAGTCATCATGTTGTTCCATTTACATGTGCTTTATTCCTGGTTGGATGCATTTGTCTTGTACTGGCGTTATCATTTTAATCTCCAATTTCTGTGCCTCATGAAGTGGATGGATGTAGTCTTAGCAAAGCGGAATACTGACCAAATTCCTTCATCATGTATCTAAAAAATTGCATAGCATAAATAATCTCATCATCTCTTCAGGCCACTAGAGTCAACTTTTTCACTGCTTGTGCGTCTAATTTTTTCATATAATCCTCTTGCAACGGTCTGGTACGAAACATTTTTTATTTTCGATTTCTTGGTTGGTGGTTTTCCCGGTCCATGAAAAGTAAAGACTATATTGCATGGTTTTTACATACTGGTCACTGACCTTAATGATTTTGGTTTTATAATTCTCTATTGTCTTATGGCTGGTTAAACCTTATATCTGTCGCAGCATTTTAACTGTTAGTTCATAATTGTCATCTAGCATACGCAGACGTATATTTGTTATAATCTTAGTTCTTGTTTTGGATTGTTGAATGTTGTTACTAAGTTACCTGTCAACTTGGTTTGTTTCTCCCCCCGCAGCTGAGGAATCTGTTATGGGCCACATCAAAGCACGATGTATACCTTATGCAGAACTTTTCAGTAATGCATTGGTCTTCTTTACTCAGGAGAGGCAAAGAAGTACTGAACGTAGCGAAACCAGTTGTGCCTACTGAGGTATGTAAAGGCTTGATCGATTCATCGCGCTTTATTGGAAAAAGGGCCAAAAGGCCATTCTAATGTCAAGGTTGTATATTCTCTCAGAAAAGACCTGGGTTGTTGGTTTGTCCACTCTCTAGAGTGCAAATAAGCACTATGGCTGTGAAGGAAAATTTATTGGTTGCTGGGGGATTCCAAGGTGAACTAATCTGCAAGGTATGGAAGTGCTCAAACAAATATTCCTTTGAGACTACTGAATCCATCATAGCCATTGTTTCTCTATTACTAACTCTCTTTTTTTCGTTTGTGCGGCCAGCACATTAATCAACCTGGAGTTGCTTTCTGCTCAAAATTAACCACAGATGAGAATGCCATCACAAATGCAGTGGACATTTTCCAAAACCCCACGTAAGTCATCCCGCCATTATCTGATATAGGTTGTTTGCCTTGAAGACCTATAACTGAACTTTCCTTGTGCAGTGGTTCAATGAGGGTAATGACTGCAAACAATGATGCTCAAGTTAGAGTTTTTGATGTCCAGAATTTCACTTGCCTCAACTGCTTCTCGTTCGATTGGTCCGTGAATGTGAGTACCCTCTTCTGAAACTGTTCCTTACGAGTGATTTGTCATTTTATATTTCTCATCTTAGCTTTTCTTGTTTATGATTCTTGGCAGAACACCTCTGTTAGTCCGGATGGTAAACTGGTTGCAGTACTCGGTGATAGCACGGACTGCTTGATTGGTGATGCTCAGTCTGGAAAAGTAAGTTGCATTGTCGCGGTGCGGCGTATTCATTTTGTGATTTATGCAAGTCATAAGCAAAGATCTGATGGTTTACCTACCTACTTGGCACAGGCTGTCGGAAGCCTCAAAGGTCATTTGGACTATTGCTTTTCCTCGGCGTGGCATCCGAACGGACAAATTTTGGCCACCGGGAATCAAGACACCACTTGCAGGTTATGGGACATAAGGAACCTCTCACAGTCCGTAGCCGTGTTAAAGGGAAGAATGGGAGCAATACGAGCCATAAAGTTCACTTCAGACGGTCGGTTCATGGCCATGGCTGAGCCGGCAGACTTTGTTCACATCCTCGATACGCAGTGTGGGTATGTCAAGGAACAGGAGATTGACCTGTTCGGTGAAATCGCCGGAATATCCTTTAGCCCGGACACAGAAGCTCTGTTTGTTGGGATCGCTGATCGGACATATGGTAGCGTGTTGGAGTTCGACAAGAGGCATCGTAACCAGTATCTGGAAGCAGTCTTCTAGTAAGAGTGCCTCCATGAAGTTGTTTCTTGAGCAAGCAGAAACGGAATAAAAGTAACTTCCGGGTTTTGTATAGCACATTTCAATCGCAAAATGTGGATTTATAAACGGTTCCTAGTTTAGTCAATCTTTCGTTCTTGCAATTCTTGGGCCATTGATATTTTTGTTTTCGGCTGCACGGGAGCAAACCCGAAAACAAGGAAACCAAGAGATCGTTCTAGGCCAAGCATTGGAAGTTTCGGTCTTTCAATGGATAAAAAAAGAGATACGTTTGAGTAGTTGGAATGTGTAATATGGCAGATTTTGAAACTTTGATGATCCGTTGAACAAAGTACAACAATTTCAAAACATGTGGATTATCCGAAGCTGCAGAAATACTCCACTAATTTAATAAAAATTGATTTAGAATTCAGGAGTTGGTTTGAAACAAATTTAATAAGAATTGATTAGTACACGGCTGTTGGTTTGAAGGTTTTAGCATTAGTTTAAGGACGGTTGAAGGTAGTTGGATTTAGAACGGTTGCCAAAACAGAAAACCATCTACTAACAAAATTTTACGATGCTCCGGAGTATCAGTATGTGATCGAACTTTTCTAAACTAATAGTAAATGGTGGCGCTTAGGCTCAAGATCTAGAAGATGCATCATCTTGACTTTATTTTCCCTTTCGTTGCAAAAGTGTCGAATGGAGGAAGGAAAAGTCCAAAGTTTAATTAGAGCATGTTTGAAACTGTTCTGAACAAACTTTTGGTCGTAGCTCGTAAGCACTCTTGTTGTAAGCGTCTCTATTACAAAAGCGTCGAAATTTTTACTGAAAATCCAAAGTGCTTCTTAAAGCAATTCTAGTCATTCTAAACTAGCAAGCGAAGGAATTTGGTCCGTATTCAAAAATATGATGTTAAGGCTGCTGCGGCTTTTCTGTTTAGATATCCTTTAGGACAAACTAAATTGAGTTTTATAAGTTAAAACGCGTGAGGCCACTCCATACTATGGTCTGATAGTATTTCTCTTCATTTTGAGAGGTCTTAGATTCAAATCTCGTGGATTGCGAATTCGATATCAAATTATGTTAGTCATTGTGTGACTTAGCCGATCTTCCACTCTCTTTAGCGTAATATATCTTCGTGACTTTTCTATTTTTCATAAAACGGAGCTGCAGCCTAAATTGAGTTTGGTTGGGCCAAGAGTCTGGCCCTCTTGTTTTAGTTGGGCCACTAACATCATTTCACACCAAACCAAGTCAAATCTCAAGGGTGTGATGCGTAGTTAGGACCTTTTTTACAAGTACATCGTTTAAATATTAGAAAAAAGGATTTTCAATTACCAAAAAAAATAAAGAATTGGACGTACCAGGAGAATAATTTTGGTGCTGATGCTTTAGTATTTAATTTTTCTGTCTCTAAAACAAACAAGAGAGATGAGTCACTTGTAGAAGAAAAAAGAAAAAGAAAAGAAGATGCATGCATTTTTAGATTAAAAAAAAGGGCAAAATTTTTTTTTTATTTTATTTTACTGTTCATGTCTTGTTCTTTGTCTGTAATCTGTATCATCTTTTTTTAACCTAAATAGGTGATAAGAAACATGGGTAATTGTTTTTTTTTTTTTTTTTTTTGTTTTTAATGTCATTAACTTGATGTAGAATATGAGTGCTTAATTGAAAAATGGACACAAGGGCGATTCCCTAATCCAAAAGAGTGTATAAACATAAAATAAAGGGTGTTGTTATCCCACACCCTTTTTTATCTTTCATTCACCTCTTTGAATTTTTGACCGTCAGATCTAATAATTTGAAGATAATAAAAAAGTAGGAATTAACAAGAGGTGTCTGTAAGGTTGAGAAAAAAATGTGTAGATAACATCACCCAACATAAAACCTAAAGGGATATGTGCCAATCTAACCTCAAAGGGATATATTTCAAGCACCTATTTAATGATCTAATTCAAAACTACAAATTTGACTGGAGAAATTATTGAATGGTACTAAAGTAAACCCAAATTGTGTATAACGATCCAGTTCAGCATGACAAATTTGGCCGAGCATTATTGTTAAGTACTAAAACATAGTCATGTGGTATAATTACCCTAAGCCCAAAATGTTATATAAAACAGATCCATGAAACAAGCTTATGAATTTTTTAGAGAAAGTTTTATTCATTCGTAGATATAAGCATAAGCTCGTGGACAATCTTTCTACAATGCCCCTTCAATCTTGCAAAAGCTAGACTCGTTGGATTCAGTTTCTTGGTCTTCGAGATTTGGCAACGATGGGCGGTTGGGAAGCCTTCCCAATTTTAGTAAAGTGCAAAGGTTTGGGGGAGGCTTTTCAAGAATGCCACTGGTCTTGGATTCCAAAATCGGCCAATATGGCAACAGATCTTTTGGCGTCGCAGCAAAATAGGGAAGTATGTGATAATATATGGGTCAACAGACCCCCATCTTCCCTTGTGCATGTTTTGTGTAATGATGGTCTTCCATGTCCCCATTAAGTTCTAGTTGGTAGTGCGAGGAGTGACACTTTTAGCATTAGATGTGGTGTCGTTTGTAACTCCTTGCACAACTTCTTTATTGTTGTTGTAGTTGGCGTGCTTGCCTCGGGGTAGGCTTCTTTGTAATCTTTGGCATCTTTGCCCGGATAATATATTATCTTGTTCTCCAAAAAAAAAAAAAAAAAAAAAAAAAAAAAAGCTACCAAACTTATTCAACATGTAACAATGTTTTATTTATTATAAACCTTTATGACTTTCTATAGTTCGATATTAAAAACATATACGTGTATTCATACGTCATTTAGTAAACAGAATTGATAGCTTAGTACTATTCTCGTGTATTGCTTGTCCGTTACGTAAAGGTGTTTCATTTATTCAAATTTGGACCAACTATAAACCCTTATGACTATACATTTCAACATTTAAAATATACACGTGTTCATATATCATTTATAACTTAGTATTATCACCGTGTATTGCACGCCATGCTCAATTCAAATCCAAGTCCAAGTGGGGTGAAGGAGAAAAATGACGAATGAGAATGAAAGGAGAAAGAGAAAGCATGAAGAAAATACAAGACTTTTGGGGAATTCCGTATGCTCACTTTTGGGCAACATTCCAACCATAGCACTAAAACCATTCATAGTTCTAAAATTTTTGATATGTTAGCCATCATAACTCATAAATTTTCATGCTCACTATATATATTCAAACTTTGGAGTTGAGTTATACTGCTATGTCTCACTCAATTGTACAAAAATTATATAAGATCTAATCAATGCAAAATTTATTAAATTTCTATGTGTAAATATAACTGTTGATTTTCTGAATCACTCAGTGATACGTATCATGAAGAAAAAAAAATCCAAACTCAATACTATTTTGCACCCCAAGGTTGGGCAATTCACACTTTAAAAGCATGTATAGTAAAAAAGAGGCTTCAAAAAATAAGTAATGTCGATCGAAAGAGTCAAGAGTAATCATTGCAAAATTCATCAAATTTCTATATGTAAATTTAATTGTTAATTTTTTGAACCACTCAGTGATACATACTAAAAAAATAAAAATCCAAACTCAGCACAATTTTGTACCCGCAAGGTTGGGCAATTCACACTTTAAAAGCATGGATAACAAAAAACTTCAAGAAATAAGCAATGTAGGGGTCAAGATCAAATAGTGTCGTGAAAAAGTTAAATTGGAGGACCCCCACCAAATCCTTTCAAATATCTTTGGCTATAATGACATGAAAACCACTTTGAAAATGACAACATATATATCCCACCATCTATTACTTTGCTTTGCTTAGTCGCAAAACAAATTCAAATTCAATGGCCCTTGCCTTCCCCCATTTCTATGCTTGTACTTTCAAAGAAATCACAAAGCTGTTACCGACAATCGTCTACGTACGCGCATGTTGATCAACAATACATTATAAACGTCGCATGCATTAACGGTTAAAATTTAAATATATGCATAAACGATCGACACTAATTTTGTTCAAAAAACCATTATGCATAATACATGAAATTACGAGAAGAAGCTATAATGGGTTTGATTAGGTTGAAACTTGTGACAAAAGGAGGTGGTAGTTGCACTTGTACTTTTCTTTAAGACTTAATGTAGTGGAAAGTTGTGTAAGTGTGAACCAAATCTTTTGTTGGAATTCTTTGTGGCTCGGGTGGCTAAATTGAAACCTTAAATTTCATTCTATTTCTAGGCAGCTTAGTTTGAACAAGGTCAATAGATTTGGACGACCTAATTGATGCAAGTGATTCGGACGACCTAATAGAACTCCAAAGAAGCATCTTTTCTCTACTTGGAATTTGGTTACATATATACAAGCACAAACTCTCATTTTATTAATCATTCGCTATTACTTCAAGTAATCAAATACACCCCTTCCCTTCTAGTGAAAATAAAGAGAGAAATGCTTAAGAGATTCTTATGACGCATTTACGTAACCATAATGAATGAATTGAATTTAGGAAGAGTTGTAATGAGAAGAAGTCATAATCGGATTCCTGTTGAAGTTGTTTATTTAAATGTTTTGGAATTGGAATAGAAATAACACTAATTTCATAAAGCTGTTTACTAATTCAGCAGAATCGGAATATAAACAAGTATGATTACTAAAATGCCCTTGTTCCAAATCAAATATTTTATATACTTTTTTTTAATAAAATTTGATATAATATATAATAGACACACTAAAATGCTTTAGTTTGTTTTTTTTTTTTTAATGTAAGTATTTACTTTAATATTTAAATTTTCTCACTCAAGTTGTAGTTTATTCTCTTCGGCATATGCATGAAGTTGTGCATAATGTGAATGAGCATGGAAATATAAAAAAAAAGTAAGGAGTTGTGCATAATTAAACTTAATGGGTTTATAAAGGATAGTCTTAGAAATAAAAAAAGTAAGTGAGGGCATAAAGGAAACAAAAGTGTCATTTCGATTGCCCAAGCAATCAGGAATTGGATTACCACCTACATCTAAGGAATCCAATTCCACCAATACAAGGAATTGAATTCCAAAATTTGTGTGGACCCCACTACTTTTTTTATTCCTCAATGTTTAGTAAATACCGGAGTACTCCGTAATTGGAATTCAATTCTACATTTTCATTCCGATTACAGATACATAAATACACCCTTAGTG